CTGTCCCTCCGCCCCAGCCACCCGCATCCCCGCACTCCTACCCAGTTCTCAGAGACCCCGCTTCGGGTGGGGACGCCCCCATGTCCCGGATTTTGCCCGGGCCTTGGGTCTGCGGGATGCGGACCCACATCCCTCTGCGAAAGCTCAAGCACAGGTCCTTTGAAGTCGCATCTACGGGGGCGGTGCCCCAGGCAGAGGAGGGATGGGGGAGGCCCAGATGGGGGATGGGGCTGCGCCTAGCTCAGATACCTCAAGGTCCTGGCAGGCAAACCTGTGGCCTCTTCCCTCGCTGTAAAGAACCCGCTGAAAAGAACCCGCTGAACGCCGTGCACTGAGCTGGGAACCCTGGGCCTGAGCAGGCCTGGGCCAGAGACACCGACCCAGGACAAGAGCAGACAGCCCCAAGTATGGGTTGGGGGGAGAAACAGAAAGGTATTGAAACTAGTTTGGGGAGCCAGGAAGGCTGTCTGGAGGAGGTGACCCTGACTTGCGTCTGGAAGCAGCATGCTGTGTCTTTCCTGGTGTTCCCGCTTCCCCAGGACACTCAGCTCTTCTCTTGCGGCCATCTCTTCCCAGCCATCATCTGCACAGCCCCCTCTCCCCTCCTCCTTCGAAAGGATCTTTGTTTCCCCAGGAAAGAACCTAAAAGAGTGGCATGGGTAGTGGCTGTGTGATGTAGAGGGGAGTGGAAATATGAGAAGCCCTTTACTTGGGGCCCTTCTCCCCAAAGTCTTCACTCCCAACCACTGTCCTCCAGGGATTTCTTTGAACAGCCTCTGCAGGTACCACAGCTTGGCCAGGTCCCTACCTATCACCTCTGGTTCTCTGGGCACTTTTGTTGGTTACAACCAGGGGGACACGGTTTGCCTCTCCACATCCTGAAGAGTTGTCCCTAATTTAGCCAACCTTCTTAACAACTCAATGTACCCTCTTAGCCAAGCTCTGATAAGGGCCTTGCTCCCAGTATTGTTACAGCTTGTGGGATCAGATTGTGGGCTGGCTATGTAACACCCCCAAGATACATACCTGCGGCAATCCAAGGAAGGGAGGGGCCCTTTAGGGTAGAATGCATATGGCTCTCTGGAAGGTGAGGAGCTGCTATCTGTTCAGCGGGGAGAGAAACCACATAAATGGTGTGTGTAGCAGTGGCTTGTCTGGGGAGTGTGATGTGTTTGGGGGACATGTCTGGATCCACAGGGCATCAGCCACTGGGCTCTTGATACTTTATGGTAGAAGAGATTTACGCTCAGCCCTATGTAGACCTGGGCCCCACATGAACAGAGGTGGAAGGGCCAGCAGGAGAGTTGGTCTCTAGATGATCCCTGAGGTCTGTGGTCCAGAAGCTCCCCAGGACTTAGATCCCATTAAATGGTGTAGAGAGTGGGGGGCAACCATTACTTACTATTGGCTATCCGGACAGCTGGGGGTACAGCATGGTTTGTGATTGGAGACCCCTCATCTGGACTCCAAGAGTCGTAGTGAATATCAACAGTGCAGAGCTTAGCTGGGGGATAAGGGATCCTCAAGTCTGTGGGAGCTTCTACCCAGTGTACCTCACAGTGGATTCCTGAGACCTCTCCTCAGACATTGCTTGTTTCTCCCAGTTTGCACGTCGCCAGGACTGCCTATACCTTCCACGCCCATCCTGAAATTCCTTCATTACCTATTTACCTTCCTGGCCCTTCAGTCTCTGGGAAGTGTATTCCATCTCCAAAGGTTTCTCTCACAAGGTTAGAGATTGAGGGCAGGGAGAATCTGGCAGAATCTTCTAGAGTCTGGTATAAAAACTTTCTCATTCATTGTGCAGTGTCTGGGCAGCTTAGAATGATGCCGGATGTCCAGGTCTATGCCAGTCATCACCAACGTGGGTTCTTGATGAAATCCTTGACTTGCGGCCCACTTCTGACGATGCCCTCCTATAAGAGAGAGGCCTGGGCCCTGCTGTGCTCCTGGAGGCTGGGGGTAGCCCTTGTTTGGGGGCCACACTGGACTCACTTCTGGGGCACCCTGGGTTCTGGACAGCAGGTCAGACAAGCTCCAGCTCCTATGGCTTCTATAACTCTTCCCTTAAACTTATTCCAGACAGCACTCAGAATTCTTTTCCCCCTTTAATGGCCTTAGTCCTGGGGGATTGATGTGTTGCTGAGATCCTATTTTGCTGGGGTACCAAATCATAGGGAAGCTAAAGGGTCTGGGATTCCTCTCCAGGCTGGGGATGGGTGGTGGCCAGATCACAACTCACCTCTGGCCTTCACATATTACTGTACACCCTCCAGGCATCTGTGCTGCTGGGTATAACCAGACTGCTCATTTCATGCATTCTTCATTTATTCAACAAATATGTATTGAGTCCTCTCCATATGCCATGTCCTGCCAAGAGCTGGGGTCGAGGCATCTGTGAGGACAGGGCTGTGCCTGTCTTATTTATTTATGTTTCCCCAGCACCCAGCAGAGAACCTGGCACATAAAAGTTGTTCAAAAACATTTGCTATTAACAACACTATCATTGTTGTGGGAAATTTTATCTTAGCTCATCCCCTGGACATGACCCAGAGAGAGGCAGGGAGGGGCATGAGGGGGCTTAGGATGGTGAGGATTTCTGTTCCTGCTGCCTTGGAGACCACACCCAGTATCTTGGGGCACAATGCCAAGGCCTTCTATATGCAGCCAGGTCTGTCCAAGGTCAGGAGAAACCACAGTACTCTTTCCTCGATGGGCAGGCAAGGCTGGCAGGCTCCAGCAGGAACAAACACCCCTGGGAGATGCCCTTGGGCCTGAGCCTAGGGTGAGGGGAGGGAAAGGGTGGAACAGGAACAACGTCAGGCTGAGGGCAAGGTCAACTCCAGGGACAAAGCAGAGACTTCCCAGAGTTGCATGTATCCTTGAGTGGGGAAGTAGAATGAAGCTAATGGGGCAGCCCATCCTTGAGGCCACCTTCCTGTGAGTTGATGGGGGCTAGCCAGAGAGCTCAGATGAAAACTTGCTCCTTCCCAGTCCAGTGGCCATAGGTCTCCGGTAGAACCTGCCCCATTCAGGTTCAGCTTCTTGGGGCTAATACATCCCCTCTTCAAGGCTCAGACTTAGCCAATACCTTGGATTCCAGGTGAATCCAAATCCTTGATAGGAAGTCTCCTCTTCTTAGAGTACTCAGTCCATAGTATTGACCACTCCAGGGCCCCAGAGGACCTCCAGAGAGAACTTTAAAAGCCCTTACTTCAGTGTGGCCTGTCTGGCCCAGGAACCTGTTTGTCCAGGTCAGGAGCCTAGGAGTCCATATGGTGGAGGGGACAGCAGTCTGTGGAAGGGCAAAACTGGATGGGGATGGGTTGTGTGGGTCTCCTGCAGGGCTAGAACGGACCTTCAAGTGATAGAGAGCCAAGGTAGGCCCGCTCTAGGAAGGGATAGGGGGCCCTAAAAGAGGTGGAGGCAGTCAGGGCACAGGCAACCACCCAATATCCAAAAGGAAGGTCAGGGATGGTGTGGCCAGGGAGGTGGCTGGGCTGATACACTGCATAGCCTGGGAGGACAGGACTCAGTCAAGGAGGGAACAAAGCTGGCCTTTGGTTGAGTAGAGCATACAGAGGAAGGTGTGCCTGTGACAGAGGAAACTTCCCAGCTCTGGTTTTGTGCCATTCAGTCCTTTAGCAAATACTTTCTGAGTTTCTGCCCAGCGTCCTGCCTAGACCTGGTCAACGAGACTTAGGTGTATGGTGGGGACTCTTCAAGCGGCCACACCTCTCTGGGGATGAGAGGCTAGGGCTCTGGGAGGATCTAGTCTCTGAGGATCCAAATAGGGAGAAAGCTGATTATGCCAATGGGGCCTGGTTACTGGCCTTGAGCCAGATCCCACGGCAGACAGAGAGCAGACTCAATTCCCTTCAGGAAACTGAGCCTCAGGAGGGTGAGTGACCACCCCAAGCTCACGCAGTTTCAACTGGCAGGTGTGGAGTTTACTCCCTGTGTCGGTGGCTTTGTGCCACATCCCTTGTACCAGGGACTAGATGTGTCTCAGCCGCACCTGCAATCCCCAGCAGCACCCCTGTCAGACCTGCTCTGTCTCTGTTTTCACATAGAAAACAAGTCTTCTCTAGGACCCAACAAAGGGGCTGCCAGGTGTCAGGGCAGGGGCAGGTTTACCCAGCTGGGCCCAAGGAGGCCTTGGCCCTGGGGCCTGGGAGTAAAAAAGGGTGTTGGGAGGAATGGCATCTCACACAGCGGGGAGGTAGCAGACAGGTGGGAGACAGAGGCGGCTCAGCCCAGCCCTGGCAGGGAAGTGACAGAACAGGCTGTTGGTGTGGCGGTGAGACCCATGTGATGAAGTGTTGTGCAATAGGGGCCTCAGGGAAGCAACTTACAGCCTCACCCCTGCCTCGAGGGGACCCTGTCCTTTCACCTCTCTCCCTTCTCATTTGGTGCAGAGGCTGCAGGCAGCCTGCCTGTGATCACCCAGCCTCCCTCCAGCATCAAGTGCCATTCTACCTATAAACCCCAAATAAAGGCCCAAGCTGGGCTTCTCAGGTTTCCAGCTTCCCCTCATAGCTGGACGCTTCCCTTAGCCCAGCGACAATGGTCTCTGTGAGGAAAAGGTGCCTCTTTTTACAAATCACCTCTTCCAGAGAGCAGCTGAACTAAGTGCTCATTCTAGGCCCATGAGACTCTCAGCCGTGGATAAGAGTAGCCATAGCCATGCCTGGATGAAAGTAAGGGTGCAGGCCCCTTCTCTTCAGAGCTTAGGCAAGAGTGAATCAGCGCTATGGGGGAGGGGGCAGGTAAGGCTCTATCTAAAGTGAGGGATGACAG